AATAATAATAATAATAATAATAATAACAATTCACATCGTCGTCTATATTGTCATAATCGTCATCAATCCCATAATTCAGATAATCTTACGCCAAATACGCCAACTCAAATATCTAGTTTACATCAACAACTTTTTCTTCACCATAATAATCATAATAATAGTAGCGGTGGTGGTAGTCATCATCATCAACCTTATTGTCAACAACAACAACAACAACAAAATCATGTAACGCCAAGTTGGACAATTCAACCGAAAATTTTATTTGTAAGTAATGACATCAAATTATGTGAAGACTCCATAAATTTTTTGACATTGTATGGATGTAGCTGTGATGTCGCCGAAGATGGATTATCAGCGATTAATAAAATAAATATTAACTATTACGATTTAGTTTTTATGGATACTTTAATGCAAAATTTTGATGATGTAAACACAATAAGGCAAATAAGAGCTTTCAATCAAAATGTACCAATAATAGGGATGTTAATATTAAATAATAATAATAATAACAACAGTGGTGATGATGTTGGTGGTGGACGTCGTAATGGTATTATTAGCAAGGATAATGATAATTCAAGGAACGATAATGGTAATGAGAACAATGATTATTTAAATTATTTACATGATAATTATATACGTAATGGTGTAACGGATATCCTGTCGAAGCCTTTTACAATGCAAGGACTTTATAACATGATAGATAAATATTGTAGCAACAATTTAAATCACTCTCTCAATAATAATCATTATAATAATAATAGTAGTAGTAGTAATAATAATAATAAAAATAATATATTGTAATCATCACAATTTAATCGACAAAAACAACAAAATGATGACGATGATGATGACGATGATGATGGAAAAATGAACTATTTTTTTTTAAAATTTAATATTAATAAATATGAATTCTATTATGGAATAAATTTGGATAAGAAAATTAATTAATCGAAATTTTATTACATATTCTCTATGTAAATACATACATAAATTACAACACAAACATACACACACTTATTATGATATGTTTTTAAAAAAAAAAAAAAAAAAAAAAAAAAAATATAAACAGCAAAAGAGCGAGCAAAATTGGCAAACGATATATATATAAATTTACATAAATATATACATATTATACACGCACACATACAATATATATGTATATATAGTAATAGACACAATTAAATTCTCATTTTTATTTTTTCATTTGTAATTTTTTATTTTTATTTTTTCGTATGTAAATTAATTTTGTATGTATTCAATTTATATGATTTTTTTTTTACAAAAAGTATTTTGTGAATGAATGGTGGTGTGTGGCGACGAAAAGATAAATTCAAAACCACATGGAAGTTGTGTTACAAAAATAGATTATCAAACACGAATAATTTCTTGATAATCTGATTCACGTGTTTAAAACAAACCAAAATGTAAATAAAAAAATAAACAATATTGTTTAATACATAACGTACGTACGCACGCACGCACGCACGTTCGTTCGTTCACCCACATTCATTGACCCCCGCTATTTGTTACAATATTTTTGTATATAAAAACTTTTAAGGGCTTGACACGTGCGTATACCAAATTGCGAACTGGGCAGACAAAACCTTTTTTCAAAATACGATGGCGGATTAACGTAATAAACAAAAAGTGTTATATGAAGAAGCGAGAAAAAAGAAAGGGCTTAATATTTTTTGTTTAATATATAAAAAACGATTTAAAAGTGGTAGGTAGGCACATTATAAAAAAAAATTATAAAGATCGCTCTCATTAATAATACAAATATTTTTTTAAAAAAAAGAAGAAACTTGCATTTTATTATTATTACAATTAAATTTTTTTTTTGGTTTATTTATTTGTTATCAATTATATTATTACTTAAAAACTTAAAAAAAATTAAAAAACTATATATTATTAATTATATATATATATATATATATATACATATACTAATATATATATACATATATACAAACATTAATTACCAATAAATCCTTTTTTCCCGCTCATTTAATTACCAAATATTTATATATATAAAAAAAAAAAAACAAGAAATAAAAAAAACCCCCATAATTAAAAAAAAATTATTATATATATATATTATATATATATATTATATATATATATAATGTAATGTATGTTAAAAAATTTTTCTTTTAATAATCGATCGATCGATTAATTCCAATTATCTACTTGCTTGAACATAAAATTATCATATAATTCATTATTAGGAGACATAGACACGGCTGGATAGACGTCAGTTTTGATCAAAGGTGCATAGTATGATGGATAGCTTGAAGTATAAGGACTCACACTACTACCACTAGTTGGACTAACAATTGCAGTAGAGGTACTACTACTTGGAGAACTTATTGGTGGCGTGATAGGTGCAGTATTATTTGAATCATAATTGTTATTATTATTATGTGTAGTGCTATAATTTGTACTTGTTGTACTTATAGGCGAAGAGATTGATGGGAGTGTAGGAGATGGCGATTGATGATTTTCATGATTATGATGTTGTTGATGATGATTATGCTGTTGCTGATGATATGATGGCTGAAATGGAGATATTGAATTAGTAGTTGATGATGATGATGACGACGACGACGATGACGACGATGATGATGATGCAGTAGCAGCATTAGTGGGTGAATTTGTGGGAGTGTATAATTCAGGTAAAGACGAATGTAAATCATGATATGGATACAAAGGAACTTGACTAAGTGTATTAATTTGATGAATTGAATTTGAATCATTACCATTGCCATTAGTATTATTAGAATTATTTGGAGTTAGTGTAGTTGGTGAGGTTGTGGTAGCTGTTGGAGTGGTACTACCATAAATAATTTCATTATTATTAATGTTGTTATTATTTGATGGCGATGATGATGATTCATTATGAGAATTGTTAGCATTGGAATGATGTGTTGTTGTTGTTATCAGTGATAATTGATTTATCGAAGTTGGTGATGAGGTTGAGGTTGGTGAAGAATATGTAGAGGATGTTGAGGGAAATTGTTGATAATCTGACCAATTAGTGGTAGGTTGTGTATTATGATTATAATAATTATTATAGTCGGTACTGTGATGAGTCAGTGCGCGAGGATTTGGAAAATGATGTTGTTGTTGTTGTTGATGATGGTGATGATGATGAGCCGTTGTTGTAGAAAGTGGTGGGAATTCGTTATAGGAAGTTGGTCTTGTAGTAATATAACCTCCTCTCATCATAGGTGATACATCATGAGGATTAGAATGATTCGTTAATAAATTGTTGGGTGCGTAGTGAGTGTAATGGGGAAAGCCAGATGAACTTGTGGAAAATGATTGAGGTCTATAACCGTCAACAACACCTGAAGAATTTGAATTTTCCGATTCAAGTTTAATACGTCGTGATGATGATGTTGATGTGTAATCCATTTTAGAAAGTCTTGTTGGACTTACTGTACCTCCAATTCCATGTTTTGTAACCATGCCATGATGTGAAGAATTAGCATTTTGTTTTCCAAAAGTAGACATTCCGTCCATATCTATACATTTATAAAAAAAATTTTTTAAGAAAAAAATAAATAAATAAATAATAATAAATTTATATACATATTACTATTGCTGCTGCTGCTGCTGATGCTGCTGCCACCACTACCATCATCATTACTAACCTTGATCATAGGTGGATTCTATCATAGGAGGCACTCTAAAATTTTGTTTTTGTAAAAATTCAGGAGCAATTTCTAAAATTGCCAAGTCAGGTATTGAAGAAGGAGTTTTCAATAGGCCAGCCAAAACATCTTCTTTTGTATAATAACTGATCATATGTTGGCTAATTCCATTAACCATGATTGACATTGTTTTTTTAATTAAACCACCTTTTTTAAATTTATAAGAATTAGTTAAACTACCAACCAAAGCACGTTCTTTATTTCTTTCAGATTGTGAATCCATATCACTACCACTACTGCTAGTGCTACCAGTGCGCTGATGATGATGGTGATGACGTTCCATGGTTGATGAAGAAACAGATGAGGATGATGAGGATGATGAATCTTTTTTTCCAGAATGAGAGCGTTTATCCATTTCACGATAAATTAAGAAATTTCCTAGGATGCGCGAAGGACTCCATACTAATCCATCGGTCCACCTTTTTATTCCAGACTCGCGTTCATCAAATACAAATACGCTTCCAGACTTTACGATCTTACGTTCTTTCTCTTGAAGACGTCTACATATTCTTGGCAATACACCACGTCTGCACGCTTCAAATATTAACAAAGTATCTTGAGTTTTTTCTATGTAACCACAAAAAGTTGCTTCTATACTCATTATTTTTACAGTTGTAGGTTATAAAGTTGTCGATGAAGAAAAAGCGAACAGGTAAAATGATTAAAAGAAAAACAAGAGAATTTGTATTTGTATATAATTTTTTTATAATAGGGTAAATTTTTTTAATAAAAAAAAAAATTTATATAATGAGAAAAAAAAAGAAAAATTTTTTTTTTTAATTTTAGTTATAATTTATAATTTATAATTTATATATACTATAAATTTTATATATATTTATATATATATGCATATGTATATCGTAAAACATACAAAAAAAAAAAATCGTTAATATATTTTTCGCGACTTTTTTTTTTTTATTTAATTTTAAAAAAAAGTTATTTTTGTGATAAAATTTTTTTAAAAAAAAAAATTAAAAAAAAACGAGAACTAAATAATTTTATAATATTTGGGTTTTTTTTTTTTATTTTTTTTTTAAGGAGGAAAATTTTGAGGTGAATTTTCTTCAACGGGGGAGGAGATGTTTGTTTTATATGTGTACAGAACTGGTTTGTGCTACACCTTTTTTTAGATATTATAAAAATATTATATTTTAAAATACCTAAAAAAAAATAAATTATTATTATAAATAGTAAATAATATTTAATAATATTAATAAGCACTCGTATAATATTTATATAAATAATAATAATTAGCAAATTAGAAAACGAAAGGGGAAAAAAGGAAGAAGAAAATGAGCAAGAAAGAAAGAATGTTGATAATAATTAATGATGTATTTATATTAATAGTAGCAAAGGAGGAAGGTGAAGGAGAAAGAAGAATTTAATAAATAAATAAATAAAAAAGTGATTAAAAAGAAAATTGATAATTTTCTCGTTTGATAAGTGAAGAAAATTAAAAATATAAAGTAAAACGTATATGAAAATAATAAATATTTCGAAAATTGTTGATTTTTTTTGTCGTAGTCGTCAAAGAATTTTTTTTTGTTTTTTTTTAAAAAATAAAAAAATTCAAAACTCTTTTAAATCGGAAAATTTAAAAAAAAATTTTCCTCAAAATTCATAGAAAAAAGATTATTGTTATTAATCAACTCGAATATTATTAATTATATATATATATTAAATGTAATTATTATTAATACTTGACCAATAAAGATGAATCTGATAAATTTATGTGTATGTATGTGTGTGTGATTGATATTATTTTTGGATTTTTTTATTGTTGTGATGATAAAAAGATTTACTTTGATTTCTTGAACGTGAAAATTTACTTTTAATTATTGCAATCAAACGATTGGCAAATTAGAAGAACGGGCGAGTGGGTAGCGAGTGAACGAAGGAAGATGAGATGACAATGACTAAGGACGATCAAAGAAGAGGATCAAAGAAGTTGATTAATTAAGAGGATGATCAAATATAAGAGAAAATTGGTAAAATTAAAGTAGGCACGCAAAGAGATCAATAATAAAACCTGCAATAATATTTAAGTAATAATAATAAAAAGATGAATAAAGAAAGAGAAAGAAAAAAATCATGATCTTTTTTATATTTACAAACAAACAAACAAACAAATAAACAAACACAAGAATTAAAAAAGTAAAATCTTTTAATCGATGAAAATTATTATTTTTTGATTTTAATTCAAGGAAGTTGTATTATTTTAAAGGCAATTGATTAATAGTTAGTCAGTCAGTTATTATATTGATTATTTTATTAATTAGTAAATTAATTGATCAATCAATCAATCAATTAATTAATATATAATTTTAAAATTAAGCATCTACATTTAAGCAGTATATATATACTCTACTGCTTAATTTAAACTAAAAATAAACTGCTTCTTCTATTATCGGTCGGTCCTTAATTTTTTTCAATTTCATTCTTAAAATTTGCTGCAGTGTTACGCGCATAAAAAAATACACATTTTTTTGTTTGTCAATTTTCTTTTTATTTATTTATATTATATTTATTTATTTATTTATTTATTTTCTAAAATAATTTTCTTTTTTAAATAATTTATTCAAGATCAAAAGAAAATATTTAATTGTAATACATATAAGATAATGTCAACAACTATTAAAATAAACGCAAATATAAATAAAACAAATATAAATAAATAATATAAAAATAAATTAATCAAATAATACACAAAAATTACCTTTTAAGCTTTTTTACAATGTTAAGCTATTGACTTGCATTCTACCGCACACCCAAAACACACGAATTCTCAAAAACTAAATAAGAATTTCTTATTCAGAAATTTTGTGCATTAGTAACAACATTTGTGCAATTATATTCCTTTTTTTTTTCTTTATTATTCTTTTGAGTAAAAGTTGAGGTAAATAAATAAATAAGTAATAGTAAGAGAGTGACACACAAGTAGTAAAATAAATTAAAGAAACAGCAACAGGGTCTAAATGATCAAAATAAACAATCAAATAAATAATAACATCATAATCATTATGTTGTTGATTATGATCAATTGGTTTATTAATAAATAAAAAATTTCAACAATGAAATCTTTATAAAAGCTTTTATTTTTCGTATTTTTCCCAGATCTAAAGCAGATAATGGGATGTTATCACAACAAAGATTGCAACGATGGCCATTCAAAAATTGATTGGTTATTAAACCGCTGATTCAGTTGGCTAAATGGTTAGTATATTTGACAGTTTGGTTAGTTAAATTTGTTGGTCAATGAATAATTAACAGTAATCAAGGAATTAATTAATTAATTAATTAATTAATAAATTAATTTAAACGATAACGTATACTCTCATATTAATAATAATTATAAAAAATATGATAGCAGTAAACAAGGACTATTTATCAACTGACAAGCTCCTATGTTAGGACCGGGAACCAGGGAGGGCACTGTAATTGGTATTATATATATAATATAAAATGTTACATACAATATTATATTCCCATGAATTTTTATTACATTCTTCATGATTGGATGATGATGGTGGTAAAAAAAAAAGTAGAAAAAAAGTAAATATGCAGGATTTCATATTTATATATATATATAAAATAATTAATTATTACTTTTGTTGGAAGGCTGAATATTCTTTTTTCCTAAAAGAAAAAAAGAAAAAATCTTCAACTAATCAAATTTAATTTCTGTTTCTTTGCTAAAGATAATCCATAGTTAAGTACAATTTTTAAGATGTGGAAAAATGAATATGTAAATATGCAAATTGCAGAGTGAACGTGTGAATGTGAATTAATTAGGAAAGTGAGTTTGTGTTTTGTGTGATTGGAAAACAAATTATTGCGGAGTATGTGAGAGAGAAAGAGCGAGAGAGAGAGAAAGAGAGAAAAAGAAAGAGGAGACGTGAATTTGCATGATTGGGTGGACGGAATTTATGTGTGTGGATTTAAAATAATGGATAATAATTTTATATAGCAGATATTATATATTTATATGTATGTACATAATTACAATATAAATAAATTATAATAATAATAATATAAATAATAATTCTGTGAACAGCAAATTAGATTGTATTTTTTTCACTTGAAAAACAATAATTTATATAAAAGCAATTAATAACACGATAATAGCCGATATTTTATTTTGACAATGCGATATTCAATTAATCATAGTTGCTATTATGTTGTTAATTATCATATCATTAGAATTAAAGATCTTTTTTAAATTGAAAAACAAAAAAAATTTAGAAATATTAGAAATTAAAAATTTTTAATTTTTTAAATAATAAAAAAAATAAGCTATCACGTAATTTATCAATTAATTTCAATTGGTTCAAATTTTGTATCATTCTGTAAAAAGAATTGTTGTGCCCTTGTTTTGTTGCGGTCGTCGGTCGCCTTCCTTGTCGTCTTCGCTTTTTGTAAAACGAGTTCTATCTTGACGGCCCACGCTATTTGTACTTTTTTAGAATGAATGAATAGATGTTATAGATTATATAAATAAAACCAACTACTTAATTGAGCGATTAACTAATCTTTTTTTATAACTAACCATACATACACAAAATGCACAAAAACCAATTTAACCGCTTATAAATGTGTTATTTTAGATCAAATATTTTTTTTGTGTATTTGTATATACATTTCGTGTAACTTGGTTTTGATTTGATGTGCGATGGTGAGTTTAGTCGTTCTTTGCATTTTTCGAAAATAAAATAATAAATAAAAAATTTTTTTGTCTCAACAAAAATAGAAATGAGAAATGTTATACATAGAATGTCCAATATCCAATAATGTCAAACTCCCTAAAAAGTATTGTATTAGGCAGTGATATACATTTTATTATTTGGTTTAACTGGTAGAAGAAAGATTAAATATGATGAATGAAAAACTGAATGAATGAATGAATAAAAAAATGGGCGATAAAGGCGATTGAGCGAGTGAGTGAGTGAATTAATTTGTAAGTGTAGACATGGATAAAATAATTTGTACTTTTTACTATTTTTATTTATTTATTTTATTAATATTTTTTATTTTATTGTCAATTTGAATGATTTACTATTATTTTATAAAAATGTAAATATTAATAATATTATTATTTGTTTAATATTAATATTACTATTATTGTTTATTATTACTGGATGCATTAGAAAAATAGTCATTTGATTAAGCATCTGGTTACTATTTAGTTGCCATTTGATGATACTACCTATTATCTCCATCATCATTGGGTTATTGTTTGAATATTTGTTGTTGTTATTGGATAGTTGTGAAAATCATTGGTTAGTGGTTGTTGTGTGATAATTTTTAAAATAATAAGTGGGGAAAAATAAAAATAGTTAGAAAAATCTATAACATTAAGCGTTCATTTCTTTATCTTTTTTTTTTTAATTTCCAATTTCACGGTTTTATCGTTTTAATTAGTTAGTGATGATTAAAAAAAAGAGCAAGATTTTTTTAATTTATGCACAAGTTAATTTGGTTAGTTGGAACTATTTATAAATTATAAATTATAAATTTGGTTAATTGATTTCTTTAATATTCGAAAAGAAATCCTTTTTGAATTAAAAGACTTGGTAATAGTAATGTTCATTCACTCATTCAATTTACAATCACTGCGGGAAAAACCACTTTATATTTTTTTTTTTTTGATCACACGATTTATTACCAATAATTTTTTTTTTTGTTTGACTTTTAATGTTACACGTTATTCTTAAGCCTTTTAAACTGTACATTACGTAATTCTAGCCGTATGTTATTATTAACCACCACAGCCCCCTAAACAAAAATAATAATTATGATTGTAAATCAATTTCTTTTTTTTTTAAACTTTTAAAGAAATCTCAAAATAAAAATAATCGGTTTCTTCATTATATTAAATTTAACTTTTAACAACTACACAACATCTGTCATTCATTGTGTGTGAATTTTCATAATCTATACTTTCAAAGTTTATTAAAAAAAAAAAATAGATTTTCAAACTTAAAATTTTTTTGTTTGTTTGTTGCATCGAAATTGGCAATTAAACATGTGTAATATCTACCATGTTATCATACTTGGAAAGATTTTCTTTATTTAAATTTATTATAACGTTCATGTGAAAATATTAATTGACGACACTTCCAATTGAGAGAAGTTGGCGAAAGACAAATGAATGATTTAAGAAAGAAAGAGCATGATTATATTTGATTTTTTCATAAAAATCATCATTTCCACAATTTATTAGTTAGTATTATTTTTTAATTACTCTAATGAAATTTAATTCACTTTTTTTTTTTATAATACAAAAAAATCGAAAGAAATCAACGGTTAAAAAATGAATGAATGGGTTGGATTATTGAACATGTGTGTGTATGTATGTGCATGTGTGTATAAATTTATAATTATATATTTTTATGTTTCAAATTTTTTTGTATTATTATTATTATTATTATATATATATATCAAGTAATTTTCATATTCAATCTTTGATGAAAATTCAGACTTCAACCTTGTCTATCTATTCCTTTCTAAATGTCCATTTCATTAACAAGAATGCAATATAAAATGTTATGTATATATATATAGGGTTTTCTCCAAAAAAAAAAAGAAAAAGGAACGTTAATAAATCATCAGATTTAGGTTTCTGGGCCTATCACCAAAAGCGGTCTATTCCTTCCGTAATAATTATATTCTTGAACAAATTCTTCTGTTATGTAATTACCACAACCAAAGAAAAATTCTTCAAGTTGATGACAACCACAACATATTGTAAGGACATCGTCTGGTTTTAAATTTGAGCAATCTCGAATTCGTAATTCCCCAAGATTTCTTAGACTCGCTAATTTTGGCGCCGCAGCCTTTATTCAATGTATTTGATTAGTAATAATTAACAATAATAATTAAATGTTAATAAATTAAATATATTATATATATACACGCATATATACATAAAATAACAATACCTCACTTGGAATATCTTCTATACTCGCTAAAGATAATTCTTTTAAATTATCACGTAATTTTACTATTGCATCTAATCCTCTTGTTGTAAAATCATTAGACAAATACAATGACAATTTTTTCAACAATTTACACTCGCTAACTCCCGACACTACGCACTCTTCTGTAATGCTCTCACAATTAGATAATTGTAAAGAGGTAAGTGTATTGGAAATACTGTAAAGAAATCTGATGATTGGATCATCTGTGATATTTGGCAATGTGAACAGACATAAATCATTTATCGGCGGTCTCGCTTTTTCTAATACCGTAAATGCCGAATCTGAAAAACTACAATTGTAAAGATGTAAGCACGTCAAAGTTGTTGCAGATCTTACTGACATAATATTTAACGTGATGTCTGTTACGTTCAAGGTTGACGATTGAAACGTCACTTTACTAAGTTGCTTTGATCCATCAGCTATCGCTATAAACCCATCATTAGAAATATTTTGTGCTTTGTTAAGCGAGATTTCAAATGATTCCAATTTTTTTGCATAATCAGCAAATGCAATCAACGTCTCATTGGTTACTCCTTCATATGGCTCTAATCCCAGATTCCGTAGGTTTGTACATCTGACTGCTACTTGTGTTAATGATACGTCTGTGATGTTTTTTATGTTGTGCAGTATTAAGGATTCAAGTCGTGTGTTTAAATTTATTGCCATGGTTGTTATGGCTGCATCACTCAACAATTCGCATTCCCAAATGTGTATATTTTTCAACCTCATGCAATTTTTGGTTATGAGTATAAATGAATCGTTTTCGATTTTATTTTTAAAAAATATTTCAAGCGTCGTAAGATTTTTTGCTGAATATGCGAGTTGAAGTATTGATTGATCTTTGATGCCTAAGCAATCTCCAAATGCCAGATGTTCCAATCGATGACATCTAGTTATAACATTAATCATCGATTTGTCTGCGATATATGGTAGATTTAACAGTGTGAGTGATCTTAAATCGGAACACCGACTAGAAAATCTGCTTAATATTTCTTCGCTCAGATGCTGAACATTTGTTAAATTAATACTTTTCAAGACGCCGCATGTTTCAGCAATTAAACCTAATTCAGGTGACTCGCAAGCAAGATTTACTCGTGATAAATCCAAATGTTGAATCATACACCCATAAGAATACATTGTGATACCCTGGTGTGTTCTAACCAGTGTTCTTACAAATTTTGTTAAAGTAGAAATGTGTTTTATTTTTGGTGACCGCCATAATGATGGTATGGCACAAGTATTCCAAAGCTTGGATACTTGACAACATGAAACTAGATCTACCTGACGATTTAAATACCTTATTATTTCACAAATAATATATGCGTGATTTGATAATGGTGATACATAGGGTGATTCGTAAGATAGCTCATTATATGATGATGACATTTGAAACTTTATATATATATAGTGTGCGCGGATAATTTTTCGTATAAATGTAGTTTTAATGGTAATTACAGTAGCAGTTAATATTACCAATGAACGATGTTGATGATATTGATTGGTTCTAAAAGTTTGATTTTATGATTAAAATGAAATTAATATTAAAAAAAACCAATAATTAAATTATTAGTTTATTTATAATCACCACCACTATTGATATAATGACTTTCTTTTTAATATTTAAAAGAATGAAAGAAATAAATTAGAAACACGAAGTTGACAAAATAATTTTACTAATAATAGATTATTGTTAGAATTAATTTATTTATTGGTAGAATACAATTTTAAATAACAAATGAGATAACTATTTAGGAGTAAAGGATAATAATTGATGTTATTATATAATTTTTTGTATAAGAGAGGATATAAAAGGAAGAAGGAAGAGATAGTGATATACGGCAGGAATGAATGAATGAAAAGGAGAAGAATTAAAACATACGAAAAGAAAAAAAAGAAAAATTAAATCAAACAAATCAAGCAAATCAATTCAAATGAGCTACAAACATAGAAATCTGGAATTCTTGTGGAAGGGAAGAAAAAAAAATTAATGTTGCACGAATCTTAAACCAAATAAACTATGACAGACTTTTTAAGACAATTATTTTTAGAAAATTTCTAAAAAGACCAATCAAAAAGCTAAACCAGTTCCTGTACTAGTCCAAATTTGAGGTTAAAAGACTACGTCCCTCTTCCGAGATAAAGTTTATAAAGAAGTATATACAATATCCAACAATTTTCTTATTATAAATCAAAGTTTAATAGAAAAATAGAAAAATATATCATTAATACTGTTAAAAACTAATTAATCGAGAATTAAAAATTAAAAATTAAAAAAGAATTCTTTTTTAATTTATGTCGTTATCATTTTATTTTTGTTATTGAATGATCTTTACGGTAAATGGAGATGGGATGCTACTTGGCTTTACATTTTCATAACATACATCTAAAGACAGGTGCTCTGATATTCATGACAATTGCTGAATTAATTGTCATGATATATATTCCTTTAGAAAAAGGTTTCAGGTTTCAAGTTTCTTGTTTCCTTAATTTAATTTTGGTATAACAAACAACTGATTTCAAGAAAATCTGTCAGGATAGAGACAATGTTGTAAGATGGTATGTAGATATAGGTCAACCAAGAGAATTTTCAATTTCTTCAAAATACATTTTGTAACAAATGATTAGGTTTCCTTCATATATTTGAATTTGAGGTTGTCCAGCAAAATAAAACATTACTCTTTTATAACCAGCTTTATGTTTGATCCTCAGCAGGAATTTTTGGGTAGCGAGTTTATTAATAGATTTGCAATCGTGTTTGTTACACTCATTCATACATTATGCTCATTAAGATTTTTGCTGACTAAGAGCAGCACACCTTCCTTTTTCCTCATATATAAGCACGCCTCTTTTCACAGAACTGCCAAAATGGGTCGTGACTATTAACGTCATAAATCTCATTTTTTTCAAAGAGACTGAATAACAACATCGAATGAAGTAATCCTTCCCAACAATTTATCTCTAAATCTTTGTGTAAATTCACATATATTATTAATATAAATAAACAACAAACAAAAAATCGTAAAATACCCTATCATGAACTGCCAATGAATAAATTTCAGTAGTTGGGGAAGAAGTGTAGAGTTCATTGCAATCCATGAAAATAATAATTTTGTCTTGCCTGTATGTCAAACTTTTGACTATCAATCAAAAAATAAAGTGGAAGTGTGAAATAGAACAGATGACGATTACACATTATATTTTCTTTCAATATACACCAAAAGATTTGTTTTTATAATAATAAACAAAATAAAAAAATTTATAAAAGAGCATACATACTCGATATTGTCTGTCACATTATAAACGCGCCTTTTTTCTAACATTAATATTAATATCGGCTTTTTTCTCATATAAATCGACTAATGCCTATTGATAAAAAACAATTCTAATTGTATTTAGGACATTTTTTATTATCTATCACATACTCAAATGAGAATTTGTATATAGATTCGATGTATATTCTTTTGATGTCAATGAATTAGAGAGCCAGCACTAGCGGTAAATTCTTTAATTTTTCAAATAAAAAAATATTTAATGTTACAATGAGGCCGATGAAATTTGTATATAGAACATTTTTTTGTGTACGCGTTAAATATAAGTAAAAAAATCTGGGGGAAATTTATTTTACATAAAATTGTATATGAATCTAAATTTATATTGATTTTTATATTCTGTATTAAAAATTCTAAAATAAAAATGAAAAATTTTTATATTACAATTAATACAAAGAAATTATTTAAATAAACTTTTTTATAAAAAATTACAAATGTATATATAACTTCTTCTATCTATAATGTTTATCTATTTGTTGGTTTATTATTTGTTGATTTTGTTATACGTGTCCCATAACCACCGAAAATTTTAATGTAGAAGATGCATTTGAAATCGAAGACGAGTTATCATAATCACGCACATCCATAAGATAATCATCCTGACAAAGACTCGAACTACGCCAGCCCTAAATGGAATTTATTTATTTTATTTACGTGTTAATATTATTATAAAATCAAATCAAATCAAATCAAACCAATAAAACAATCATCAAATTCATTACTAACCCAACTTTGCATCAATGCAAAGTTATCTGGACTGCTTTGAAATTGTGTTAATACATGACTTGGCCCTCTTGATGGGCAAAATATTTTAAACCAAGTTCTAACATTTTCTCTTTTGTCTGCATATTTAGAAAAGGTTCTTTCGTTATTTTTATTATTGATATTTGGACGTGGTATTGACTTCGCCGCTGTAGTTGACGATGAAGACGACGATGACGATGTGTTATTATTGTTGTTGTTGTTGTTGTTGCCATTATTATTATTATTATTATTATTATTATTACCACCTCCATTACTGTTATTATTAAAACGTTCTTCTGATCCAGGCAAAGTTTGTGAGTTTTTTGTTGGTGATGATGAGTTTAACGATGATGAATTTAACGATGATGAATTAACACATGATGATGACATATCAGGCATTGAATGACGATGAAGATATACTCCAAGTTGTATGCCTTTACGAGGAGTTTTTATTTTTTGAATATACATATTCCAATTAGACCTAAACATCATAAATTTAACATTTTACAACAAAAATTAAAATTGTTATTGTCATGTATAAAAAGAGAATCAAACGAATTAAAAATAAATTTTTACCCGGCATAGAATTTTGTTGCTGAATAAACCCGTTGTTTTTCTTTTAATTTTGCAACATCCGTAAATTCAACACTGAACCTAAAAGGAGCAAATAATGAATATTCAACGCTTCTTCTACCTTCACCATCTTTAATTGCTTTAGAAGCACCACCTTTGCCATTAACGCTACTGCCATTGCTGCCAATCATATCTTCTAACCCAGTTACAGCTTCTCCTATATGAGTTGTATCGTCTGATGGAATTTCAAAGTGTACACCCGTCGAGCTCGACGGAATCTCTGAAGAGGAAATCCCTATTGTTAAATCTGTCTCCGAAGTGTTTTCTATTTTATTACGCAAATCTATTTGCTGCCATAAAGCATCCTTTGCTACATAATCTGGAGCAAATGGCGCATTATTGTTTACAGTATCACGATCTCGTAGAATAAAATTCAATTCTTCAAAAGTCATGTGAGCATAGTAAATTGCATATGTAAATATTGCATTATAAATAAATTCATCGTAATTATCAATTGAATAAGTTGTCGAATACGGGGTTGTTATTGTGCTTGGTCTTCTGGTATGATAATTAAATGTGTTATCAATTAGTTTTTTTATTTTATTTGTTGGAGTTGTTGGAGTCGTTGGATTTGAGAAGTCGACTGATTGATCGTTATAATCTTTATAATCTTGTGAACTGTATTGATTTAAATCATCAAATGAGTTTATTGAATTTATTGAGTTTATTGAATTATTTCTTTTTTTTGGTTCTGGATTACTTTGTTGCTGTTGCTGTTGTTGCTGTCTTCTTTTACTAACGATATCTCTAGTAAATAAGTATCTTTCATATTCAGAAGGAACCCAAAACGCGTCACTCTCGATTATTTTTTTTAACCATTCAACTGGTAATGTCAAAAAAGCAGCCTTCAATTTATTATTATCGTAACCTTCTCTACAAAGGTAAGTAAAACAAGATTCAGTAATTTTTTCAGAATGACTTCCATAAAAATGGGTTGTAGCAAAAGTAAGGTAATGTACAACGGTGTCATCTTTAATGTCACGTAGTATAACTTCCACACACATTTCACATAAATCTTGCAGATCAAGAAAAGAAGCTGTGGCAAGTAAGTTTAGAACCCGATTGGGTAATATATATTCATCTAATCTACCATACAAACGACCTAAAGCTATTTCAAATGCATCACGAGTAATATTTTCATCATCAAATTTAAGTTCAATGGCCTTTTGACCACTCTCTTTCCAAGGACCTTCTAATAAAACAGAAAAATATGGGTTTTGATAAAGTATTATTCTATGTAAAAGATAATCTTTGCCAAATGCTTTAATAGTTACATCGCTACCACTTCCGTCAACTAAACCCCTTGAATAAATGTGTCTGCAAAGATTCATCATTTGGCGTAATACTCTCTGAGGATCTTGTGCAGTTTGAGGATATAAAGAAGAAGAAGAAGAAGCAATGTCAGATGGGTAATCTTTTGTATTTCCACTTTCCTTTTGAGTTAAGGTTAGGATAGGGGACATATTTGAGTTCGTTGCTATTGAACCCTGCCTGTGAATATTAAATTGTTGTTGTTGTTGTTGTTGTTGCTGCTGCTGCTGTTGTTGTTGTCGATTATTATTATTATGTTGAATTGTTGTTAAAGAAGTTGAAAGAATATTGTCCAAAGTGGAAGTTGTGATGGTGTCAATATCTTCGGGACGAACTAAAATAAACTCGTTGTCGATTTGACTTTCTATTGAAAGGGTCAAATTATTCATATGGTTGAATAAAAAAATATTTTTTATTTAAACCTAAAATATTTCTAGGTTTTTAATAATCTTTTTCACAATTTTTTTTGAAAAAAATATTATTATAAAATAAAAAAATTTTGACCAAAGAATGGGGAATTTAAACAAATAAATAAATTTTTTGGTTAGACAAATTATTATGGGGGTAATATGCATGGATTAATGGGGTGCTATAATAGTGCCTAAGTGTTTCTTTTACAAATAAGTTTCTAAATATAAAAGAATGAATTAGAAAATTTTTAATATTAAGCCACAAAATTAATTTACGCCAAATAATATTAATATCAATATTAAATACTCTAACACTAAAAAAATGAATAACAACGAAACAATGAAAATGTGCGTGTGTGAATTAAGTGTTATTAAAAAATTAAATTAATAATCACTTATTTATTTATCAATTTATCATTATTTATTTATCAATTTACCATTATTTATTTATTAATATTAATATATCATTTATTTATTTATTAATTATCATTATTTCTCCGCTGTTTTTATTTTTCTTTAAAAAAATTTTTTTAACAAACAAACAGAATATCTTTTTTGATTGTAACTGACATGACATCATTCACTGAACATAATAAATATATACAGTCAGAATATTACCCTAGATGGAAATACTAAATACCGTAATGATCAACGTATTGGAAATTTGTTAAAAATTCTAGAACAACAATGATTGGCTAAAATTTATGCAGATCTTTTTATACAAACTTGGCGAGAGCTTTATTAAATGATCATATAACTTTCAAATTTACACAAAACGTGTATTTTTAACTGTTATACGAGACTACAAAGGATCAAGCAATCCAAATGATGTTATTTTCTAATTAATGTATAGCAAACATATCAATATAAAACAAGTACTAATTAAATAAATATTATGCACTCTTAATACAGGACAATTGAAATTTACCGGAAAGTTTCCAGAAGCAATAGATTTTTTCGGTCATGAGGAATACCACCAATATTAATGATTATAATGAAAATGAATGTCGGGATGGTTATCTTGTTTTAAAACAATTGTTGCAACTAATTATTATTATTAATGATTTTTCAGATGTTTTTCCAAGCATTATTAGATTAATTAAAATTTATAGTATTTCCTTTTCAAGTGTGGATTGTGAGAGGGGTTTAGTGTATAAAACTTGATCGAGTCAAAATTATGTAATTCACTTAGCACAAAAACCTTAGACATGAATAAAGATGGCTCCTCAATTAATTGTGACATATAAAAATTGAATTGCAATTGCAGTTGCGACATGTGAAATTGGATTGTGGCTAATTGTGGTTCCCATCTTTAGTATTGTGGGATCAGAGAGCAAAGATTTTGATCATGATGAAGCATTTATTATTTGGCATAATCATTAAATAATATAACAAGTTGTTTTTGTTTTTTGGTTTCGCAATAAAATAAAATTCAAGTGCTTTTTTGCGCCCTGACTTGACATATTAATATAATCTTATTTAATAATCAAAAAAAAAAAAATTATAAATATTTCTTTTTTACCTAATTTCTTCTCATTCTTTCATAATCTATCACAAAAATCCTTCAATAATTATTTCAAAATAGTTGTTTATAATGATACTTCTTAACTAGAGTTTTCCGAATATTTGTTATAGTATTATTAAATATATATATATAATACATATTAAATAAATGTATTAATAATTAATAAAAATATATCAGGAAAACACTTGTTAAATGTATATTCTTTTTAAAATACAGTACTTAATGATGCATACCGTACCTCCTCCTTTCTTCTTCCTTGCTTATATAGCACTAATTTACTCTAAATATTTCTTACCTAATTCTTTAAACAAGCTTTAGTAAGTATAATTCAAATAATTGGAAATTCAGATCAAAATACCTTTTGTGGATGAAATTAGACGATTAATTTATATATTTAAACAGGTCTATTTATTTTGTTATAATACAGTTTGATTGTAATGTGAGAATAATCTAAAGAATTAAATAATGAAGATAATTCTTGGTAAAAAGTTGTACACGTTCCTTTCTGATGCTCATCCTCAAGATTGATTAATTTTAATTCAAATTGTTCTCAGAATATCTTTGAGTAAGTGAAGCGAAGCAAATAAGCATGGTAGGTATCAGCAGATGGTGTTGTATCCATTAAAGGTCAAAAAAAAGAATAAATAATTAAAAACTAAATTTTTAGCAGAAACAAATCGACAGATTATGATTAATAGTATTAATAAAATGTATCATTTTTGATTTGATCAGCAGATTATTCTGGAATCGAATCCCAATCCCTGACTGAAATAGGGTCACAGTTTTTTCGGGGGTTAAAAATTTAATAACTAGTTAGTTATACAAAATACCCTGATAATATTCAACAATTAAATGCTTATTTTTGTGATTTTCAGCTAATTGTCTATGACATCTTTTCTTAGTTTAGTTCTAGACCAAATTGAGAACAAAGATTGTCAACTACTGGTTTATCATCAAGGTCCAACTGAAATTAAATGTTGGAAATCCATCAAGTATATTTTTCTTAACTTTTCACTATTTGAAGCAGTAACGACATTCAATTCATGTAATGCGAAATGGATATAATCACAGATACTGAACATATAGGTCCTAACAACTGAATAACGTTCTTTAATCATAAAAAAATAATTTTGATTCGTGATCGTAAGTAATGTTCATTACTTCTCTCATCAGAAAACCTTGACACAATTGGCTAATATTTATCAACAATCCCTTTTGGACCTACGTCACCGAAATATTCCTGAATGAATTCATCATCAGGATCTTGATTTCTTCATAGTCTCAGACGTTGTCTTTAGTTGAGTTATTATTTTTATAAAGAAATAGATAGAGTTAGATGCATCATGAGCATCTTTACAAGTTCATCAGTAGGTTATTGCAAAACCATGGTCTCTGTCACTACTGTTCTCAGCTTATTATCAATCCATCTACACCAGCTAAGCATAATGGACACTCATTTTGTGCAACAGTCATTTGTATAATAAGCAGGTGGTTACACAGAGCACGTTGCTTCTGAAACTTCACTAGAATATAGCTGTAGCCTCTCTAAGTCCAGATCATCAGCAAGATCAAAATTATCTCACACTTTTATAATCAAACTTTTGCAAGAACTTTCACTATAACATATGTTATGTTGATCATTTTTTTGTGATCTGCAACAGTGTCCACTATGCTCACCAGCTACATGTCTTGTTTGTATGCATCTTTTTTTACTTTTGATACCAAATATTTCTAAATGTTGAATGAGCCCATGCAATCATATTTTTTACCAATAACAAATAGGTTTTAATTACAAATGGAATTTTACTAATAATTGGTGAAAATAATTAATGCCTACTGGTGGATCCTTTTGAAAGGCTAGCTGCAATAGAAAATGATGTTTCTTTATCAAATAATGTATAATTTTGGCATGACTTTTTATATTAAAACAGTTATTAAAATTTTAATTGAACCAAAGTTGAACTGAGTTTGTTATGTCTTCCGATCATAAAATGATAGTTGTTATGATAGCATTATTATTAATATCATAATCAATATTAGCATGAAGATGTGCTTGCATTAGATCCGGCATTATCATCATAATTGTCTTTTAATTAAATTTTTTATTTAGCTTGTCGTAATTCAGACATATGAATTTTTCATATTAGTGTCCAAATCTAGCTTAATATCCCTGTTTGGTCTTCACAAGGACTGGTCAATACTTTCACATTAACATCTATAAATATACGATCGTCTTGATTTGTTATTCCATTTTTTTCTTCTTTATAGTAAATCCGTGATTTAATAAACGAATTTTCCATATTAATATATAAAGACTGGTTTAATTGGTATAAAAGGTCACTATCTCATTTACTTTAGGCTAATAGTCATTATTTTTTTATAATGAAAAAGAGGATATGTTAATTATCTGAATCATTAATTTTTTTATGGAAAAGGTTTTGAAGGTTATTGCTATTGGGTGATTTAGTTGTTGTTTTTTAAAGATAATGACAAGCTTCTATATTTCTAGAAATAACAAGGTCTCGTAGCTTTGGTGTATTCTTCATAAAAGACCATATTCTATTATTATTGCATGTTCAATTTTTAAAATTCTGAAAACATGACACATTTATTTCTTTTATACAAATGGATTTTTTTTAATTTTGAAAAATGGTTCGAGATCACAGAATATGTCTTTACAACATTCCAACGTCATCTTTTAAACAAATTTATTTATTAACATTGATGTGCTTTTTATATTGGAAATGTAATTTTGTCAGTAGTACAGTGTTGAGGAAAAATAATCAATGTAATTTTGTTTGATCTGGAACAAAAACCGAGTATAAGGCCCCGGACCAAAATTGAGTTTTTTGCATAATACAGTTGGAACTCGATAAAACGGAACTCGATAAAACGAATTCTTGTTATAATGAAGTTTTTCTAGTTTACCAATTCATTTATAATAAAATCAACGCAATAAGACGAAGTTTCCTATTTTTTTACTTTAATGTTTAAGACGATGATTTCATGCGGTTCCATATATAGCAAACTATAACTTGATAAGGCGAATAATATCGGTTTATTATTATCGAAGGAAACTTCGCTTTATTTTGTACAATTTTATAAATGATTTACAGTAGTAGTGGTTTTATATACGTATTGTTCCCTAAAATTAAAAATGAAAAATACACTGACGTTGAAAGATAAAAGAGAAATATGTGTTATAAAACAATCGAAACCTACTCCAACGAATAAAGACCTTGCTATTCGTTTTTAAAGTTCGTGAAAATATTGTTTGTGACATATTGAAATGAAAGTCGGAATATCTTGGTATTAATCCAGAAGATCCCAATTCACATAATAAACGTTTACGCAAAGGAAAATATTCAGGTCTAAAAGATGCATTGATTCTTTAGACAACAACACAAATGCTTAAAACAAATTTAACTATTACTGGTTCTCAATATAGTAGAAAAATTTGAAATTTCAACAAAGCAAATTTCTAGTATTTGTTCTATTAGAAGTAGCATTTTATTATATAAAAGTTCACTAGCGCGTCAACGTAGTATAGACGAATATGTAGACTTTGATGTATAACTTTTTTAAACCGAATTTTTTTTTTTTAACTTTGTCTTATCAAAGATTACTTGATAAAACGAATATTTGATAAAACGATGTTTTGAGCCCGACTGTATTATTTGAATTACGCGTAACATATTAATACACACAATTGATTTAAAATGGGTAAATTTTCTACTTTTATTAACAAAGGTTTATACATAATTTTTTTTGTACTCTCAAAAATGATGTAATGGAAATCTTAAATGATCAATTAAATATTTACAGAGTTCAATGATTATTGCATTCATTTTGATTCAGATAAAGATAACAACAGTAAGTATATATACTATATATACACATATTTATTTGTTTTTCGGTTTAATCAATCTTAACATATATATTTTTAGGTGAAAATTATCCACTGTGGCCTTGTGGTGATTGTGTTTTAAATTTGATAATGAACCAAGAGATTGGTTGCAAAGTGGATGGGCCTTTTATTCTTCTGAATCTAGATGATACAATAATTATAAATGCCAATTTTAATATAAAGAAATGCTTCAATGCAAAGAATGCAGTGCCCAAGTTAGACAAAAAATGAAAGACAACAAAAAAAAAAATAGAAGGGCAGATTGGTAAAGGCTGCCCATTAAATAATAGCAATGGTATTTAAAGCTAATTAAATTTGGTTGATCATAGCTGCATTTAATTTAATTTCTTGTGTGTGTATGCTGATTGTAAATCTACTTTATTGTTGATTCAAGTTATACTAGTGCCAAACGACAACAATAAAGTTTGGATAGTAAAGGTGAAAGCAGAACACAAATCACAAGGACAGCACAAAAAAGCAAAAAACGAATGTTCTGCATTTTTTTCTCAACAGAAGGGATTGTGACTAGAATTGTGGTACCAAAAGGACAATC